TAAAGAGTTCTGAGGTATAATACCAAGAGCATCACCCATAAAAGATAAAAATTGATAAATTGGATTTCTTCAAATTAAAATTTCTGCTCTGCAAAAGTCACTGTCAAGAGAATGAAAACACAAGCTACCCATTGGGAGGTAATTTCTGTAAATCACATAATTGCAAACAGACTTATATCCAGAATGTATAAAGAACTCTCAAAACGCAATGATAAGAAGATAGATATCCATTTTTTTTTTAATTGGGGAATTGGGGGAAGGGGAACAGACAAGTTGCTGTCCTTTTTATTCTTCAGTCTAGTTGTGGAGGACGTTGCTTCACTGGTCCAAGTTGGCACCATCATTGTGCTCTTCCTGGGCGAGGCAGATCAGTCGCTGGCTTCTGGACACCGCTTACTGTGGCTGCTGGCTACACACAGTAGCCCATGGCAACCCACTGCCACAGAGGCTGCAACGCCGTCGCCGGAGACTCACGGCAGCCCAGCTCCAGGTTGAGCTGTTGTTCAGCATCTTAGCTGTAGAGGGCAGTGTCACTGGCCCTCATATGTGGGATCCCAAACGGAGCCCTCTGGTGTCCCAAGCCGGCTCTTAACCAATGCACCACTCAGCCAGCCCTAGATATCCAGTTTCTTAAACCAGGCAAAAGATGTGAACAGACACTTCACCAAAAATGCTATTTGGAATAAGAACAGGAAAAGAAGTTCAACATTACTAGTCACTATCAAAATCCAATGAAAATCAATGAGATATTAATATATACTTATTATAATGGCTAAAAACAAAACAAAACTGATAATACCAATTACTGGCGAGGAAGTGGAGCAACTGGAACACTCATACATTGCTGATGGGAATGCAAAATAATACACCCATTTTGGAAAACACTTTGTAAGTTCTTTATAAAGTCAAACATACACTTCCCATACCACTCTGCAATCATACACTAAGTGAAATGAAAACCTACCACACAAAAACCTGTAAGTAAATGTTTATAGTGACTTTATTCATAATCACCCAAAACTGGAAACAGTCCTAATGTCCTTCAACTGACTGGTTGAAGCATAAGAAAAAGAGATGGAAAGAAGAGAAGAAGAACCAAGATTCAGGAAGAGCAGGGATCCACACAGCTCTGGGGTCAGAGCAGCAGTAGTGAGTGGGTGGGTCTTCTCTACAGGACACGCTCTCATTAACTCAGGCCCAGCAGTTCCCAAGCTCTGTGCTGCTTGATTCTGAGGTCAAATTCCTGGGAGAGACTATGAGTGTACCAATTTAAGTTGGATCAATTGGGAGCGGCCAGAGGCAAGTTGCCTAAGTCTAAGAAGGTCATTAGGACCTTGTCCCTGTGCATTGGTGCCATTCAGTGAAAGGAAATTGTGTGCTAGGTAGTTGCCCCAAGAGATGTGTGTTGTAGCCACAGGGCAGCGGGCTCCAAAACCCCACAAGGGAGCCAGTGCAGCTTTCCTCCTCACTCCCTCCATCCAGATGGCTTCCTTGTTAAGTATGGGTAAACTATTTTTCCTTTGTTCTTGGCTAAAAGGTAAAATTTGTAACAGCACATAACCGTCTCCAGGTAAGGTATGCGGGAAACAGTTCCTTGGACCCCCCCTATGACATCATGTTCAAAGTAGAGGCCCATGAAACACTAAGCAAACTGGACATTTCTAAGAGGACCATGTCTGATGGGAAGTGGAAGGTACCAGCACAGAGCAGAGTTCATGGGAATCTCTCAGAAACCTCACAGCCACAGTACTTACGAGAATAGCTTCTGATATATAAAGAACTCATACAACTATGGAAAAAAATTCAATTAAAACAATGGGCAGAAGATCTGAATAGACATTTCTCTAAAGATGACATTCAGATAGCCAACAAGTACATGAAAAGATGCTCAACAGCACTGATCATCAGGAAAATGCAAATCAAATTACAATGAGATATTACATCACACCTGTTAGAATGACTAGTATTAAAAAGACAAGAACTAACAAGTGCGGGCAAGGACATGGAAAAAAAGGAACACTTGTACACTGATGGTGGGAATGTAAATTTGTGCAGCCACTATGAAAAAGTATGGAGGTTCCTCAAAAAATTGAAAATATAACTAACAGATGATCCAGAAATTCCACTTCTGGGTATTTACCTAAAGAAAACAAAAACACAATGACTCAAAAAGATATATGCACTTCGTGTTCATTGCAGCATTGTTTATAATAGCCAAGGTATGGAAGCAACCTAGGTGTCCATTAACATGAATGGATAAAGATGATGTGGTACAGGGGCCGGCTGAGTGGCTCAGCTGGTTAGGAGCTCGCTTGGGAGCACCAGCTCTAAGCAGCAGGGCTGTGGTTCAGATCCCACATTGAGGGCCAGTGACGCTCACCCTCTACAGCTGAGATGATGAACAACAGCTCCACCTGGAGCTGGGCTGCTGTGAGTCACCGGCGACGGCATAGGCTGCAGCTGGGCTGCAGTGGGCTGCCATGAGCTAGGTGAGTGGTTGGCAGCCAGCATGAGCGGCTGGTAGCCCGTGTGAGCTACTGGGAGCTGCTGTGAGCGGCTGACCAACGATCGGTGACCGACTGCCTCACCCAGGAAGAGCACAATGATCATACCAACATGGGCCAGTGAGGCGACATCCTCCACAACTAGACTGAAGAACAACACAGCAATTTGTCTACCTGTCTGTTCCCCTTCCCCAATTCCCCAACGCTGTTACCCTCCCCTCAATTCCCCAGTAAAATCTTAAAAAAAAAAAATGTATTGTAAGCAAAACGGGTGCACTGATTCTCTCCTACTGGAGGTCACTACCAGGATATGAAAAGGACAAGACAGTGGCAGTCTGATTATTTTTCAGAATAATCAATGGCATTCCGATTATTTTTCCCCCACGTCTCTTTAATATCCCAAAAGGTTTTTGTCTAAGGCCTAAAAAGAAATTGCCCTCATTCTCAGGTTTTTATTTAAAATGTTTTGTTTGAACTATTGATGAAAGATCATACGCACTCTCATTAAGTCCTTTATCTGAAAAGTAATAATGCTAAAGGCTTAGGGTGGTCTTAATAAGCTACTTACCCTGCTCAAAAACTTGTAGGGCCTCCATATTACCTACCATATTAAAACATTTATGTATTTAGAGTTCCTTATCAAATATTGGATTGTCAGAAAAGTCATGACACATTTTTGCAATGAAAAACATGGAAAAAAATACATTATGACTTTTCCGACCACCCAATAGATCCTCTCTGCCTTTCTCAACTCCTTATTTATCAAACATTTGTTGAATATAACAATGCTTCTGTTTTCTAGACACTAATGTGGATATGGTGATCATATCTATTAGTCTTATTTGCAAGGATTTATGGGAAAAATGGAATCAAACATTTGAACTCAGACCCTCCTAGAATATTTGTTGCATATGTTTGCCATAACTAAAGGATATGCCAAAAACAAAAACAAAAACACAATCTATCTTGCAAAGGGAGTTCTGTGTGGTACAGGCTCCTCTCCAGCAACCTTTGACCCTGTCCAGAGTCCTGGCTGCCCCCAGGCCTATCTTGTTTACCCCCACCTTGCTTTTTCTTTTGCTATTTCTTTGACCTTGAAAATCTTATCTTGTGCATCCTATTCTGTGCCCCCCACTTGAGGAGATAAACTATCTTCAAAAAGTTTTCACTTATTTACCTCTCCACACTCCAAACAATCCTTATAACATAGTAAAAAGCTGTCTTTTCTGACTATGAGAGGAACTTTGCATACAATTTTTAAAAGAAATTTGATAAATTTTATACTGTTTATAATACATTAATATCAACAATAAGTTAAATGATAATTATGCATTTTCCTTAACCCAAGCACCTCCCTTTACGAAGTAATGTCTCTCTCCTCCTTGGACTTTCCATTGCATTTCATTCCTATATTGAACACAACTTGTTTCCTGTTTTGTAATATGGTTCTGTCAATGCTTGTCTCCTCTGTGAGAGAAAGTTGGCACCTTGAGGGCAAGTACTGTGTCTTACTCTTATTTGCACCTCTTCTAGTTCTCAGCACAGTACCTGGCATCCTATAGGTGCACAATGCACATTTTTTTTTGAATGAAGGAAAAAATTAACCAATAGAGATTTCTATGGTGATATTATTACACCCTTGTCTTCTACATGAGCCTGATGAACAGCCTACAAATAAAACACTTGCCGAAAACAGTTCAGAGAACCCTACCTGTGAAATTGTTGGTGTGATATAATCCTAAAGAATGTTAGGGGCTCCCAGGCTATATGGACAGCTATCCACTCTTTTGTGTTACTTTTACAAGCAAAAAAAGGGGAGTGGTTCCTAAGAAATAAGTATGTACTAACTTTAGAACTCCATATATTAATGGTTAACAGCCTCTCCTTTCTCAGTGGCAGTACAGTAAAATGGTTACGAACTTGCAGTCTGAAGTCAGAATACCTGGATTTCAATCTCACTTCCACCACATATTAGCCGTGACTTTACGTAAATTGTTTAACCTCCCTGTGCCTCATTTTCATCACCAGCAAAATGCTGAAACTAACAGTACATACCCTCCAAAGGATGGTGTAAAAACTAATGACATATATTAAAGTGTTTAGAATAGTACCTGGCACTTTGTTCACAAGTGATAGCAATATGTAGTACTATATTTACCTTATAGTCCCCATTGGTAAGTTCCACGATGTGAAGGGCAAAATGAGTTTTTGTTTTATCCCCTACAGCGCCTAGCACAGGGTTTAACAAATACTAGATGCTCAAAAATAATGACATGAATTGTATTTGAGATATAGAAACTGAATGCACAAGAAAATGAACGTATGTTAAAAACGTAAATGTCATTAATTTAAATAAAAAGGGTTCTTGGCATATCGTTTCCACATCTTCAGTTACTTTTTTATAATTAGTTGCTAGGTGCTTTATGACTTGGTCTTTTTTCGCCCTCTTCAGAGCACGTAGTTTGGTGTAATGCATGTTACAGCCCTCAGAACTGCTGGCCTCCTGACAAGCTGGCTGATCCGATAGTCTGAGGGAAGAGGTTGCTGCAGCAAAAAGTGGGTTACATTACAGTACTGCTTTGCTGCTGGCGATGAAAGGCCAATAATTTAAGAAAACAGCGCCAAGGGAGAGTTGGGTCAGCCAAGCGCTTAACAGCTCATTTGGACACACCGCATGGACACACTGCGAAGGTGAGTGCCCCAATGCCAGGGTCGTAGGCCTGGATGCCGGAGTGGGCAGCTGGGCTTGGTTGATAGGGGAGGTAGAGCCCGGGGCCGAGTCCGCCGAATGAATCATTCTCAGCTCCCCAGCCAGGTGCGGGCCCGCAGGACACTTTGCCCCGGCGTGGGCGGGGACTGTGAGCGGCCTCAGCCCCTGGCGGTGCCCCTCCCGGTGCGCCTCCACTGGGCGGACACTGACCTTGCCGCGGGCGGCCGGGCTGGCGCAGTCCGGGTTCTGCAGCGCCAGGCGCTGATGGGGGGCACCCACTGCCACCCGGACCGACGGCTCCTCGCAGCCAGCCGCCGCCCTCCTGTTGTACCTCGGCTCCTCATTCCCGCACGAGGTCGCCCAACGCGGCCTCGAGGGCCGCGCCTCTAGGAACAGGGGGCGGAGTGGGGCGCGCCCACTGGCCCGCGGAGGTGATCTCGCGCGGGCGCACGCGCCGCAGTCGCGCGGGGTGGGGAGGGTGGGTGTGCTTGGGGCGTGCGCGCCGCCGCCGCCGCCGCCTCAGCCTGCTGCTTCGCCCGCGCCGCCTGCTCCCGGCGTTCGGTCCCAGCACGCCGCTCCCGAGCGACCATGGGCGGCACGGGGCCCGCGGTGTAGTGTCTGCCATCCCCGGACCCGCGTCCCGCACCCTGACGGTCCCGGTAAGCGGGGGCGGGGGCGCCGGGGTCCCGGTAAGCACCCTACGGGGCGGGTCTGCTGGCCGCGGACAACCCTCCAGGGACTCTGAGGTGTTGTGTGGGAGCCGCCCCCGTGGAAGCTCCCTGATTGAATGGAGACTCCCAGGGCTCGCTCTGCATTTGCTGTCCTGGAGGGGCCCAGATATGGAGGGCACCGTCCCCAGAGAAACCGTCTGTGTAACTACGGGTAGGCAAGGGTATTCTCTGGAGTTGCTTCAGTGGAAGACCCTTTGGGAACATAGGGAGCCTCAGGAGCCTGCGCGGTGGGGATGGGCCCCCACAGAGGACCCTTATGTAAAGTAGCACCTTAGTCTGTGCCCTAGAACTGCCTAGAAGGAACCTCTGCCTGGGGGAGAGGATGCTGTCATGGGATCCAGGCCAGGAGTAACTTCCCATATGCCCAAAGGACTTTGGCCTTGACCTCCTTTGAGGCTCAGTGTGCCCTAACTTGTGTCCCTCCAAAGTGGTGGAGAGGCGGGGGCCCTGTGGGTCTGCTGCCTTTGTCCATTGCCCCCCCATTAGGAATTATTCTCAGTGGTAGCCCAGTTTGCTGCAAACTGGAATTTTAGTGAAGGCAGGGACTTCTATAAGAGCACAGGGCACAAGGGAGAGGAGGACCAGTGAGGCCTCTGAAGGAAAGAAAGGAGATTTGAGCCCCTGGACTTGACGATCAGGAAGAAAGAAGTAAGCTCTGGTGGAATAACTGACTCTGGCAGGCCCTGTAAAGAAAGTCCTTTGAAGGAAAGAAGAAAGGATATGTAGGATTATTGAGAACCAGTGTGCTGAGCTCTATACCAGGGATGTTTATCAGCTTATATAATCCTTACAACTGCCTTATGAAATTATCCCCTTTTAAACATTAGGCTCTTTAGACTCAGATTTAGCAATTTGCCCAAGGTCACAAAGCTTGGAATCATAAAATCTGTTTTTCGAAGTTTATTTGGGGAAAAGTATCAAGGAGAGGCAGAAGCAAGAATGCACATTTTAAAAATAAGTTGCATTAAGGCACCTAGCATAAGGCTTTGCTCAGTATAAGCTCAGTAAATGTGATGATTAAGTAAGTGGATGAAGACATATTAATTGGCGATGAGACTACTGCAGGAACCGATTTCCACTGAATCTCTAGAGTTCAGGGTGTGGCTTCGTTCACTGGCAACCTCACTAAAGATGCCTCTGGGTGGCTCTAGACTTAATTGGGTCTGGGAGAGGTCTCTGGGTGTGGTCTTTGACAGGACTTGTTCTGGGGAACTAAGGAACCCTTCAGAGGATGGAGTGTCCTGAGACCACCCTCTCTTCTACAGAATCCTTGAGAGAGGAAGGAGAGACAGATCACTTTTAGGAGGCATGAACCACCCTGTCCCATGGCCATCTGACTGTATGTATCAGCAGACATTGGTCCACATATTAACACTCAGGACACTTTTGCCCAACAGTGCTTCTGCATGCAGAGGAGAAGGGCAGAAAAAGCTCAGAACCAAGACTTAATGTTGTCTGGGGAGTGCAAAGGGTCTGCACCTGACATAGTGATGCACTCTCATCTCGCCCCCTCAGCTGTGGTAGCGCTTTCATTCCACCTGAATCCCAAGGGTGTGAATTTGGGACCAAGGATAGACTCTGGTTTCTTGTCCAGAAATGGAGTGGTGAGGAAGCTAAGCTAGGGAACTTAGCACAGAGCCATTCTGGGAGAGCTTTTCCTGTTCCCCTTCCTCGCTTTTTCCACCCAACCAAACCTAGTGATAGCCCCCTTTAATAGAAGTGGCTTCCTTGGGCTCCTGGGGCTACATAGTGAAAAGAGAGATCAGGATTTGTGAGAAAATAGAATAATCTGGTTTATCAATAGTTAGCTTTTGGTTTTAACTTGATGGCTGCCTGAAGCATGGGTGTGGTACCTCCTGTAGAGCTCAGTGGAGTAAACTGACAAAGGTTTATATTGGTTAAGAACCTCCCCATTACAGAGTTGTTTATAGTCCCCTTTTAGTTCAAACCCCTCTTAGCAGCTTAACACACCAAAATAAACAGGGATGTTTTTTTTTAAGTAAAATCAGAGGAAGCAAGCCTCCAAATATGATCTTTGCGCCAATTCAGAGATTTGTCATTGGGGTTTTATTCCTAAACCGGCCTTTTCATTGAGAGCTCTTGGTATCGCATCCACTTGTGACTCTGGAAAAATTGCTAGATGGCTCCAGATGCTCCCCAAATATTGGACCTTGGATATCACCTCCTAAGAATACTGTCTAACTCTCCCCTAATCACAACATGAGTCTGCAAATCAAATCATTCCAGAATGGGTGTGAAGGACATAACCAGCTGACCTTAATCATCTCAAAACAAATAACAAAAAGCTCTATCCAAAGGGAAATAAAAGGGGAGAGAATGTCTCAACCCTTGGTAAAAAACACTTGAGTGTTTATCAGTGTGTCTGGATTTTTCAGCCTTTAATCTTCCACATCTCCTGTAACTACATTTGTATGATTTTCTTCCACATTTGCAATCTTTTTGACAGTGCTTCCTTTTCCTCAAACATGAATAGTAGGACCTTCCCCAGCCCGTTTGCTATACTCCCTGTATTTTTCCCCCAGCACACCTGTTCCTAAGTGGAACATATTTATGCAAATAGTTTCCTTTTAGCTACAGAATCTATTATCTTCCAGTCCCACAAGCTTTTCTCCAATAGTGCTCTTGGTTTCTGCTACCTTCATTTCCCAGATTGATTTATTCATTTCTGATGGAACTATCATTATCCACTCCACCCCTCAATCTTAATGACCGAGTTCTGACAGGAATTGCTTACCAGCTTCGGACCAAGAAACCCAGACCATCAGTGTCCAGCTGGAGACATGATTATTTTTTCCATTATAACATCCCCTCCATTCTTCCTGCCCTTCCAGAAATCCCTTCGGAGACCCACATACATTAACTAATTGCTGCCTACTTGCCAGTCACTATGCTAGATAAACGTGAGAGTTCCTTGCACTTGAGGAGTTTTCATAGAATCAGTCTTCATTTCTCTAATCATTTACTATAAAGAGTAAGAAAAGTAAAGGAAAAATTACAGCTTTACAGAGTATCCTTAGGAATCAATGTCGGGTATGCCTTTTCTCAGACATCACTGAAATGCAACTGCTCTTCTGTGCCTCCTCAGGCAGCCACGTTTTTAGCCCCTGCCATTGCCCACATTATATTCCTCACTTCCTATGACAGTCATCACAGTACCTTATATTTGGTAACATGTTACAGTTTACAAAGCCCTTTTACATACGTGATCTCTGCTTTGAGAAATGCTTCATTTTACTGGGGTTTTCTCACTAAAACAACAGTGTTTAGGCTGACTGGTGTGCTTTCTCTCTCTCCTTTTCTTTTTTCTTTTTTTTTTTTAAAGCTTCCTAATTATGCTTATGGGTCTTCCAGAGGGAAAGCCCCAATGATTCACTACAATAACCACTTATTAGCTCTTAAGCTATGAAGAGGAGTTTACTGTTGGGACCAAAGGCCAAGCAATGTACTCAATGGTCAGTCCTGGGAATTATCAGGGCTATCCTGCTTCCTAGCCTCAGAAAATCCAATTCTCTGTTTTTCTTTCTCCCTGAAATTCAAATTTATATTCCTTTCTAAACAAATATTTTAAGCATACTATCTCAAACCAGTTCTTCGGGCTGATTCTTATGTGAGAACAGGTTTCCTTGCCTATTTCTCTCCAGCACCTGGCTGGCTTCCTACCATCTAAACCGTGATGGAGTCCCCATATAGCTCCATGCCTTGGCATGTGCTTTTACCTCTTCCTGGAATGCTTTTTTACTCTTATCCACTGGGGTAACTCCCACTCATATTTCAAAATTTAGCTCAAGCAACACCTTTTTTTTATCCCACACTTATGCCCCCTACACACGCACATACTCACAGTGCACTCTCAGGCTGAGTGAGGTTCTATTTGTCATTCTACCAACAGTTATTACGTGCATGATTTATGCCTGACACATAGTAGGCACTCAGCAAATATCTGTAGAATCAACAAACGAGTTGTGGTAATTAAGGTGTAATAAGTGCCTTAAATGGGGCTGAATCTGAGCTTCAGGGCCCCAGAGCTGAGAACAAGGAGCGTGTCTCCATCTTGCTGAAAAGCTCTGCTTGCTAAGTGCAGTCACACCAGCCAGTCACTGATGGTGTGCTGTTCCTTAACTGGTGCTCTGCTTTTGTGGGAAGCCAAACACTGTAGCTTTTGGTGAAGACTCATCCCAGGCCCCTGGAGGCTAAAGATCATGCCATAACTTTGCTGTCATGTATATTAG